AAACAGTGTGGCCGGGAGTCCACTCCACAGAACGGTCACGCCTTCCGCTCGACTGATCTTCACAAACGTTTCCTAAAATATATTAAAATTATATTCAATTTATAACACAATTTAAACGACAAAAAAAAGTTGTGTCAAGAAATCAATACAAACAAAGGTCTCGCCGAAGTGTCCGGACGCCTGTTTGGCCACCGCTGAGGTCACCGTAGGTTTCTTTGTCGCCGTCAGCGACGCCTTTTGCTGGGCCTGGAGTCGGGTCTTCACAACATCCAAAGGAGTGGCTAATGGTTCCAGTGGTGATCACGCGAAGAGAGTAATGCAATTAATATATTAAATCAATCGGTGATAATATAGTTGGACACTGACTGCAGAGGGAGGTGACAGTGGCGCCAACACAAGAGCTCATCAGTCGCTGAACAGGTGTCAAGTTGTGATCGGACTTCTTGTTATCACCCATTTGTTTGGATCAGTTGGCGGACGTCTGGAAGTGATTTAGTGATGTGCCTTAAAGTGTGGCAGTGGTGGTCATATCATTTGTCACACAATCATCACAACTATTGCATCAGATCCGCAACACCTGAAGAGGTAATCAAAATAAGTGATTAATCACTGATTTATTCAATGGTTTATAAATAGATGGCATTTCTATAGAAATCAACAAATTGTGGCCAAACTTACGGACCAAATGCCGATCCGTTGAATGTTGTGACCAAATGTTGGCGATAGTAGTGCTGTCTCTCTATATATAGTCCACGTGTTTATGACATTAAATGTATTTTAATTATTATATCAATTAAACTAATTGTTTGCAAATGTTGTAAGTTTTGCAAAATAAACTTTTCGTAAACCCATTCATATATACTGTACTCATTTAGGGGGCAAACAGTTGGCAAGTATTGGTCACCATTGAAACCGCTGTAAACACACGGTTTAAGGGGTGTATAAAAACAGACTATATTTACGATAACGTTATATACGAATGGCTTTCAGTGAGTAAAACAGTGGTAAACAAAGAGTTGTTATGAAAACAATTGAATTAATCACTCGTTTTAAGCATTGATTAGACAATTAATGCGTTAACCGATCGGTGGGAACCGTTTCCGGTGATAATGACGGCCTCAATAACGGTCACGGATTTGGTGGAGGAGTTGTCTGCGGAGAACCGCAAACTCGTGGACGGATTGTCTGTTTGGCAGAAATGCGTGGAATTGGTCCACAATTACAAGAAGTGCTTAACGGATGTGAACGGCGTGTGTGTCTCGCGAGACATCGATGGCTATCAGGAGATCGTCCAGGAGTTGCACCAACAGTACGACCGACTCATGCCTGACATCGACACCGCCTTTCGGTCGCTGGAAGACAGCCAACAGAAACGACAACTCATGGCCGCCGACTCTGGAGGTGACGGCGATTGCGATGACAAGCAGTCGGTCCGCGAGACTGGTCTCAGGACTTCGAGGAAACCCAAGAGATTTAAAGAGTCCGACGAAGAGATTAGCGATTACTGTCCGGACGGCGATAACGGTTCCGACGCCGAAGAGGACGACAAAGAGAAACCAGCGGTTAATATGAAGTTTTTGGCCGAAGACGACTGTCTCGTCGAGGAGGACGGACTCATTGTCACCAAACGTGATCCAAACAATGGTCTCATTCTGGGTATGATTTGACTCGAGTGTTGAGTTATTGTCTGAAATAACGCGCTTTATGTCCAACCAGTGGTCCAATTGAACAACACGTCCGGTCAGGCGCTGGGCTATCGGTGCAATTGGAGTGACTGTCAGTTCGTGTCGGTGTCCAAAGACAAGACGGCGGACCACTTGCGCACTGTTCACAACCGGACGGGACATTTCGTGTGCCATAAGTGCCCGAAGACTTTCGTGTCCNACAAGACGGCGGACCACTTGCGCACTGTTCACAACCGGACGGGACATTTCGTGTGCCATAAGTGCCCGAAGACTTTCGTGTCCCACAAGGAGATCAACGCCCACGTGATCGACAAGCACTCCAACCAATACAAGTGTCAGCACAAGGGCTGCAATTACAAGACCCGCCATCGGAAGCACCTCAACGAACACAACCGGCGCCACACCGGTGTCCGGCCCTATCCCTGTCTGGTCGTCGGCTGTGGCAAACGGTTCATCACACGACAGGAGCTCCGGAGGCATAACAATGGCGTTCATAACTCGCAGACGTTTGTGTGCGAATGGCCCGGTTGTGAGCTCACCTTTCGCACCAACAAAGCCATAGAGACCCATAAGGCCACCCATTATATGGTTTAACCATAAACAGCGGTTATCATTCCTCGTGAGTCCCGCCACGAATCTCGTGCTTAACGTTTACCGCAACACAAGTTGGGGTTAAATGTTTTAAAATAGCTTTTATTTAATTAAACGATTGGTTAATGTATGTATAATTCATTCAACAGTCTGTGAGTGAAATTGGGATTAAATGTAAAAATAGAGAATAAAATATAATTGAAATTAAATATTGAAATTAAAAATCGAGAATTTGAGTAATGAATTATTTTATAATTACGGTAATGTATATTATTATTACAAGTGATTACAACTATTAGAGATCTGCATTGATCATGATGTATTGATCAGTTGGGTATTGTTTGGTCAGATTTTTGACAACAATGTTATTTCTATGGTGTATATTAGTATAATGTCTTTTCAAAGAGTTCTGTCTACGGCACGCAATCTTACAGCCGTCCATTTGGCAGCGGTAAGGCTTGAGGCCCTGGTGTTCGTACACGTGGGCGTCGATCGCGACGCGCATCACAAACGTCTCCTCACATCCCGGCCAACAGCAGCCGTACTTCTTGATCGCCTGATGAGTGGCCATATGTGTGTCGCGCGTAACCCTCTTGCGGAAAGTTTTGCCGCAGAACTGGTATTCGCACCGGAAGTTACGCACGTCGTTATGCATATCCCGATGGTTCTTCAGATTGGATGAGGTGAAAAAGGCCTTCTCACAGCCCGGCCACTCGCACACGTGCGACCGGACGCCGCGGTGAACGACCATATGTTTACGCAAAAGGCGATAAGTGATGTACTGTCGGTCGCAGTCCGGCTCCGGGCACTTGAACTTACGCTCCATAACGTGCTTCTCGTTGTAGTGTTGGATCAGAATGTCATTCGTGTTGAACTTTTTCGCGCATCGATCGCACCGGTGCTGCAAATGGTCCGGATTTTCGCTGTGGTGGCCGTTGAGAGCGGTCTTCGTATCAAACGTCTGGTCACACGCTTCGCAGCCGTAGGCCTTACTGTGATTGTGGGCCATATGTCTGGCCAAATACACCTGCAGTACGAACCGGCGGCCGCACTCTTGGCACTCGTATGGCTGCTCCAGAGTGTGCTCTTTGCGTGTGTGCGCCACCAGTTGGAAGTTCTCAATGAAACCCTGACCGCAGCCCTCGTACGCGCACTGGTAGGGCATCTTCGGCGCGCCGGTCGAGTGGTAGATAATCTTGTGTTTGCGGAGTTTGTGTCGCTCGCGGAACCGTTTGTCGCATTTGTGGCATTTGAGCGCATAATCGCTGTTATGAACAGTCCGGTAGTGGTGTTGGAGTTTCTTTACAATTCTGAACCGGTCGTCGCAACCGACCCAATCGCACGAGTAGATCGGGTGCCCGTCTTCGGCAATCTCTTCGCCGCTCATCGCTTCCTCCTCTTCTTCTTCGTACACCGTTTCGTGGGTTTGGATCTCATGTTTGCGTAGATTATATCGACCGTCGAAACACATGTCACACTTCTGGCACTTGTATTGACCGACGGTGTTGTGCTGTTGGCCGATATGTGTCTTCAGCTCCGACTGTGTGTTGTATTCGCGGTCACAGCTCGGGTATTGGCACCAAAATATCTCATCGATGGCCGTTCGCTGACGCTTAGCGGCTGACGGCGAGAGCTCGTCATCCGTGTCATCCGCCGCCGGCCCCGCTTTGTATCGCCTGTACTTCAGTAACGAAGTGCACCTCTTTTTGTGGTTATTGAGACAGTGTTTGGTCCCAAAACAGGAGCCGCATTCGCCGCACACCAATGACTTGGTTTTGGTGTGCGCTCTGTAGCGATGCATTTCCAATGAACGCGACGTTTGGCACACGACCTCACAGTCGGGCCAATCGCAACGGATCCCCTTCTTAAGAAGGATGTCCTCGCGGGTCACTGTAATGGACAATAAGACATAAAACATTGCTTAAGATTAAGCCAAAATGGCGGACAAACATACCGGGTC